GATAAACTTACACTAACGCCACCTACTAGTAAATGACAACCACAGTGAGTTGTAGAAAGGAGTGAAAACTTTAATTTCAAATGTTAATTTTATTTAGGGGTGAAACATTTGAATCTTCTTATTCCACGATTCTTGAAAAAGATTTGAGATTTGAAAACTGAAATTTGGGGCTTGTTTCCTATTTCAAATATTTCTAAACCTAACTTTACAACAGTTAATTTTTAATGTAATAACTTATAAAGATTTATTTCCTGAATTTATTGGAACGCATTACCTGAATCCCAATTCACAATGTTACTTCTCTGACCAACTTGTTGCAGCAAGCCATGCAGCGAAATTATCCAAATAATTATTGCGCTGCTTTTTCTCAAAAATTTTTAGTACTAACCCTCATATCGTGTCCACCAGCGGCTGAGCGGTAAAAGTCGCTAAGCACGGGTAGTTTTGTTCGGGGTTCGAGTCCCGGCAAACTGAGTGGCTGCATGGGCGTTTTCCTAGGCTTTCCCCCAAGCACAATGTGGATAAGAGCCAGTTTCCCTTAAATAGCTCTTGACGAATCCTCCATCATTTTCCATATTGTGCGCTAGTCTCGCATGCTGGAGATAATTTTTTTTTTCTCTTTTCTTTCCCCCTCCCGTACAGTGTTCGCTTTCAAATCGTTGAGTACCTTGATCAAAAATTCGTTAAAGTTTTACACAATATGAAATAGATAATAAAACAAATCCCATATTTAAAATTTGGGTTTACAGATGCTCATATACGATTGGAAGACTACGTTATTCAAAATTTAATATATCTACGTACCGTTGTTTTTTCACAGTGCGAGAAACATACATACATTCATGCAGATTCTTCATAATTTAATTTCTTTAAATATGTTGCAGGGCTCTATGTATTTGGTGGCAACAATATGAAAAGTAAAACGCAGATTATAATGAACCAAAGCAAAATGCCAGAATGAAATTAATAGCCCTTCTGGGCTAATTGAGCCTTCTGACTAAAAATCTCGTATCGTCTCGATCGTTCTGCACGTAGATTCCTTACCACTAATAGGTCTTGGATATTTTTAGCAACTCATGCCACGGTACATGAATGCTAATTCATGTCATTCATGTACACGTTGCATTATGTTGAGCAAATACTGCAGAGCACACAGTAGCTATCTGCCTAAATGGAAGGGTGCTTTTGTGGAAGACTTTGTAAGAAAACTTGCTTGTATTCAAGTTACACATGCGGAAAAACACGAAAATGAACCATGCATTCAATCCGTTTGACTGAGTCCGGACCAGGTCGAACTGTTAGAAGTCAGCGAACTTAACTACTCGGTCAATGGTGGGGCTAATCACTTACTTAACTCCAGATGTTTACCATGTAAACTTCTGAACAACTCATGAACGACTATTGAATTTGAAGTATTGCTCAAATATTTTTGCCAAAACTATTTTAAGAAAATGGGCTTTAACATTCGACAGATTTAATCATATATTTCTTTTAACAGTTTTCCTGCTTGTCTTTTAAAATAAAAAGACGCGTTTTATAAAATTGTTTTCTAAAATTTAATTTACCTTAAATTCATAATTAAAATTCATTTTAATTAAAAAATTGTATTATAATATAAAAGATCTTCCTCCTCCTTCTTTTTACTTTATAACGTCATGTATTCTTTGCTGACATAAAATGTACGTGACGGTGGTAGACTGTTTAGTGAATTATCGCTAAGTCTTTTAAAGTGCAACAAACTCAGAAGAATGGTGTATAAAACCCTTTATTAACTTAAATTAAGTTTTATAGCAGACACAAGCATTACATGAAAAACAGCGTGGGCATACAGAAGCCAACAGTTTTGGTTTAAATCAATGGATAAATTTATAATTCATGAAGTTTAAGTATAGCCTAACGGTTTCACAGTTTAACTATTTAATTAAAATTTTAAAAAATTGCACTTCTAAACTTAATTGTCCAATCGTCTGAAAATACTTGCGTTCACAGGAATGTAATACTTGGTTTTTATCTACCTGAGTGATGAATTTATGCAATATTGTAATTTTTTAGGAAAAAATGCATCATCAATCAAGTTTTGCAAATGTCTGTTAACTTACTTCCGACTACGTCTATCGTAGTAAATTTTCATTTTTTCTACCCATCGTACATGCTGCTAATCTATCAAATATTGAGTATAATATAAATTAATTGTTCAAATATTACTATTTTTATAAAATTTACTATTAAAATAAAAGTAGGACGAGTTTAAATACCTTATACAGAGTGCCTTAAATAAAAGCACACTAGAGTTTTTAAGTCAATACTGCTTTTAAATTGTTAGCACATTCCTGGAAGTATTGACTCACTGCATCATAATCTTTCAGGTTATATGCCGTCCTCGCCCCTCAAAAAAAAAAAAAAAAAAAAAAAATCCTACGATTTCAGTTTCACTGCAGGACGTGTTAGAACTGGCCTCATTCCAGTTCTATAGGCACAAGTAAATACGTATCTTTAGTCTGTTAAACTTGTCTTGACAAATTTTTGTGGAAATATGCTTTGTGTACGACTTGACGGAGAAAAAGAAACTTGTTTTGTTTTACGTTAATGTTAATAGCGTCTTCGTGTACTTCTGTTATAGGCTCACGCAGGTTTTTACTAACTTTTTGTTATCTAACCCCGAAAACAAAATGGATACCTCTAAGAATATTAACGCAAATCAAATAAAAATTTAGGTTCAATTTGGTATACTTTAATTTTGGGCACAATAAAAAATTAATTGAAAAATGCAATAATTAATTTTTAGTTAAATTTAATATATACCTATTTCTATTTTTATTTACAAATTATGGTAACAGATGTTTTGCTTAAAGAGTTTGAGCTAAAAATATTTCTTTTCATTTTATCTGAAAATAAATGATCAGATCTCTTACACCTAAACCGTTTCATCTTAACTTATTGTATAGACGTTCAAGTGTATATTTATTTACCTTCATACAATGTTTGCTGCCAAGGACGTATATTTTAGCGTCGTCTATCGAAGCAAAACATATGTGATGATAACAGAACGAAAACAAAACAGAAGAAACCGGAATTTTTTATAACAGCTTTTAGGAGCTTTGACCTAGAGGAAATTCCAAAGCAGAGCACATAGAATGATTACGATTACGATCACGATTACAAAGCACATTCCTCATATTTCCATGAGATGGAGCGCATTTTAAATAATTCTTGTTCACCTGCACAAACGATACAAAAATATCTCATTTTATAAAATGTATTTCATTTTTTGTCTTTCAAGAAATCACAAAATTTAACTTAAATTTTAGATGTGCATTTCTATAACCTCTTTTTTTCAATTTATAAGAATTACAAATTAAATTATTTAGTAACGCAAAACTATAATTTATTTTTGATAACTTTGAAGAAATTACCTTTACCTACATAGTGCAGATCTAGCATATGTGAAAAATTCCAAATTTGATTAATTCTACTTTATTGAAGGCTGTATTAATATAAAATCACAAACATAAGATGGAGTTTATTGCCCTGGGGGAATTTCACTGGTGTTTATAGAAGAGTTTATTTATAGATAAAGACATTCCGCGGTAGATACAAATTTACTTCAAGTGTAACGGAGAAGAAATTTAACCTTTACAGACTGTGTGCATTTTATTAGAAATATGTTTGATTATTACTTGTAAATCCACTTCGTCGATGCAATGTGAAACGAGCAAATTGTACTTCATGGTATATTTAAACCTAAGTAATGCACATTTCATGTTTTAACACAATGTCATTTTTAAATAGAAGAATAATAAATTGCACATTATTCTTTTACGTACATCTCCTATTTTACCACGGTAAAAGTATATTCGATTTTGTTTACATTAAAATTATAGTACCTGTTTTTCCCTTTTAGTTTTCCTTTAGCTTGTTGTGAAAAAACATTCAGTGCACTTTATATTAATTATGGCTTGGTTTGGTTTATGTAGTACTCAAGGGCTATCTGCCTAAGGGAAAGGATGCCTTCGTGGAGGATTTTCTAAGGAAAACTGGCTCGCATACACGTTATAAAATGTCTATGCGGCCAGCCCGTTCGCGGCATTCGAACCTTTGACCGAACTATCAGTGTTCAGCCGTTTTCAGCCCCTGGTAGGCCCTTATGTTAATTATGCATGTAATAGAATTTTGTTCTTTATAATAGTTTATAAGGTATTTTCTTCTCTCTTTCCGCATGCCTTCGTGGTGTACCTGGAAGCAGCCTCGACGCGTATTTGAGAGGCCCACAGTTAGAATCCCGGGGCGAACATTGCACATTTTTGATGTCTCAAGCAACAGAAAAACCTAATGAAGCTTCAAGTTTATTTTTTTCGAAGTAACATCTATCTTCAACTATGGCCATTATTATCAAAGTTGAGCCATGATACTGAACTTGAAAACTTAAATTCTACCTGAAATCATTCGATTTTGAAATATTCTTTAAATCATGGCCATATGTTCTGGCAGTTTTTTAGTGACCATTAAGTACAAGATAAGAATAATAAGAAGACTTAAAAATAAGAACTCAATAATCATTAAAAGTAAAAGCATTGTTCAACTTTTTTAAATAATTTCTAACTTGATCTAACAATGAGCTTGAAAACTTAAATTGAACCTGAAATTATTCGATTTTGAAATATTCTTTAAATCATGGCTATATATTCTGGCAGTTTTTGTACTGAGCCTTTAAATACAAGATAAGAATAATAAGAAGATTTACAAATAAGAACTCCCACAATAATCGTAAAAAGTAAAAGATAATGTTCATCTTTTTTAAATAATTTCTTACTTCAACTAACAATAAATCTGAAAACTTAAATTGAACCTGAAATAATTCGAATTCGAAATAGTCTTTAAATCATAGCTCTATGTTCTGGAAGTTTACGATGACTGATCCTTTAAATACATTATAAGAAAAATAAGATTTAAATATCAGGACTTACTCAAGATTCTTAAGAAATAAAAGATATGGCAATTACCTGCGTTACTTTTTCTTGTACTGTTTTAACACCTCCTTTAATGCCGTCCCCTTCTACAATTGTAAACACCAGAAGGGTCAGTAGACCCGTTAGCTGAAACCAAAAAGATAGTTATTTAGTATCTAAATTTCAAAATGTTACACAAGAATAATGTCTTTTGTTTTAATTTATGAATTATTAACACATAATTTCAAATCTGATGATATTACTGTTCTCTAGAATGTTCTAAAACATTTCAAATTACTTAGTCTTTTATTTGCAATTTATAATTCTAACTCGACATGTAAGAAATACTATATATAAACAATCTAAGAAATGAAATAAAAAACTATTTTCTATTTTAAAAATCTATGAAAAAAGCACGCGATGCAACACTAAATTAGAATTTCTCCTTCTTTTTCTTTTCTTTTTTTTTTCTTTTTTTTTTTTTAATTTATCATTTAAAAATGACATTATATTATACCTTGAGAGAACTTGAAATATGTTAAATGTTTTAATTTCAAAGATTAAATCATACTTCAAGAATATTGGAAATTCTATGAGCAATAATAATCCTTAATCGTAAGGTGCTTCCTAATAAATTCATGTATTCAGTATAGTTATGTTGTATACATATGAATAAAACTGTCGGCAATGTGAAAATTTCAATGCAAAAAGTTCTCATTCTTTTTTACAACTTATTATTAAATAATTACTAAATAATGATACAAAAACTTTAAAATAATTTGTTTAAAACAACGTTGTATAATTTTTATTTACCAAGGAACTAATAAAAATTTAGAAATACTAAGATATTCGAACAAATAGTAATATACGCGCGTTTGAGATTTGATGAAAACTTAACAATGCTCTATTTTTGTTTATTTTATTTTATTTTATTTTATTTATTTATTTATTTATTTTTTGACATAATCCTGAAATACATTTTATTTTTATAGTAGGATACTTTTAAAAACTCTTTAAAATATTTCAGAGAGAATACGTTATCTCTCATTATATATTTACTTTGTTTAAGAGTTATTTTAAAAATATCTCGTTCTAAAAACATTAATAAAATTTAGTGTAAAGTCAATGTGTGAAACATTTCAAGCTTTAATAAATCATTAGATGAATAAATTTTAAAAAAATGTATGATTTTTTTTAAGTTATAGATGTTGCGATTTCAAAAACATATTTCCTTAGAGATGAGTTTATTAGGAAAAAAGTTATTCGTATTTTAACAGTTCCCAAAAGACTAGAACATAAAAAAGTTTATCATGATTTATTAGTAGAAACTATCAGTAGAGACTCCCCAGGTGTAATAGTAAAATATTTTACAGGAGCCCTGACGAATATACATTTAGCCTAACATATGAACGTTATACATCTTCTGTACATTTGAAGAATGAAAACAAAATATAACGTAATTGTTTAAAAAGCATTTAATGTTTTTAATTAAATATATCATAATTTAAATTCATTTAGATTTATATCAGTTAGATTAAAAAATAATATTCTTAAGAATCTGTTTCTTTTAAATAGCTTAGTTTGTTAATCAATAACAGACAGTAACTTTGAAAGATAAATATCTTACATTACATTTTGCTGAATGGCAACACTCTTGAATAAAAAGCGAAATTACGATTCACAAAGGATAGCATATAAAGTGAATCAGGAAAAATCGTGTCCCGAGACTAATAACTGAATGACTGAAAATTTTTTCAGCAACTTTGAAATTCGCTTTCTCTTAAAATTGTTCAAACATAAAAATTAATTTTGGTTGACTATTTTAAAAATACTCTGTCATCATTTACAATGCAATCAAACATTGATAGAGCTGTTTATTTGATTATGTGTGTCTTTCAAAAACAACAGGCTGCAAAAAATTATTAATACATAGTAGTTTTATGAACAAGTTCTCATTCTTTTAATCACAATAATTATAGTTCATGTTATATAAATTATAACGGTAATAATATATTTATACATGTAAATATGATAACTAAAAGGTAGCAAAAAAAAGTTACTTCATAATAGATTGAATGATTTTATGAAACTTTTACTTAATCAAAAGATGCTTTTAATCATCATTATAGTTAGCATCATAAATAGTTATTGAATAAATTTTATAAACATTATGAACGCTGTAATTTATAAGATGTATGAAAAAAATTAATTTTTTTTTTGAAATTTTAAAAATATCAATACAAATATTCTTTGATTTTGTTTCATTTTAACCAATAACCTTGATATTGATTAGATTGAAATAACAATATTTATGAATTCAAAAGTTTTAACAAGGTTAAGTAAAATTCTAACATTTGACAATATAAAATGAAAGTTTAAAAAATTAGCTAAAAATTTTCTTTGAATAACTTATGGGAACAAAATATTCATTGAAAGTATTAAATTGACAAGTTTTCGAAAAAAAAACAAGTTATTAAGAAATTATGAAGATATAATGATGAAATAACTTCATATTACAAATTTATTCGAACTGTGTTAAAGATGTGTAGCATCACTTTATTTAAAGATAAAAAAAATTATTAGTTAGCAGATAGGCTCACAAATAAACTGTAGTTTATAATCCAGTAGCAAAACTTAATTGATTAATAACAAAATGAGAAAAAGAAAATATGAAAGATTTCAGATGTTAAGGACGGCCCGAAATGGCTTTTTAAAGTTTAATATGGTTTATCAGAGGTTTATAAAGTTTAATATGGTTTATCAGTGGTTTATGAAGTTTAATATGGTTTATCTGTTATCAATAGACATGGCCCAGGTGTTATGGATGGAAACATTTTATAAGATGTTTAGATAAATATGCATTTGGATTAAGAGAACGTTATATATCTTCTGTATATTTAAAAAGTGAAAAATATGTAATGTGATTCTATGAAACTATTTAATTATTTTTTATTTGATATATCATAAATTAAATGTATTTTATTTAAATAAGTCCGATTAAAAAATAAACTGATATTTATTATTACTGTATCTATTGTTTTCAAATGATAGGTATTTTGTTAATTAATAGTAGACAGATTAAATATGAAAGAAATATATCTTATATTTTTCTGAATGGCGAGACTCGAATGAAAAATGAAACAACGCAAAATCGTGTTTTCAGACTAATAGCCCTGTTGGGCTAAAAAAACTAATCTGAGTATACGTTTTTTGGGTACTCTTTTTCTGGATTCAGAAATTCATGTATGATGTATTTGTATGTATGTGTATATGTACATACGTACATACATATATACATGTATACACGAATACATACAAATCATTTCCCTTTAAAATAAATTTTTAAAGTTATTAATGTTATTAATCATCACCCAACATCATCATCATAATTCTAAAATGCTTGTATTGATTGTCAGCAAGTTTTGAAAATAGTGTTTGATTGATTGTCGCCTGTTATATAGAATGAAATGCCTCCAATACATTATCATAATTACTCTTCGGAAATTACGTAATCTGTATCAGTAAATGCAACGCCCACTTTAAAAGACGAGAGTGAGCGAAGGTCAATAATTGAAAAGTACTCACGATAATCATGTCTCCGTTGTTGAACTTCTTCCTGTCTTAAACCTCTAACAGGTGAAGATGAGCAACCATACTTTCCCCTTTTATAAGCTTAGTAGGGAAGTCTTATAGCCCCAGGTTGATTTATTCTTTTTTTTTTTTTTTTTTTTTTTTTTCCCCGAGTTAACATTCAAGGCTCACACGTGGTCAGTTCGAGTTCGAGTCTTCTTCGTAGAAGATTTATGTCATCAAGGACTTTCGTTTCATCCAGATCTTCAAGCAACGGCAAATTACTACGTGATTTTCATTATTCAGGGATGAAGATGAGTTAAAAAAGAGGACTTATCTGATATCTTCTGTGAGAACCTGTGTGGCTTACTGCGAGGAAGATACTTTACAAAGTTTTAATTATTATTATATTTTATGTAGATGAGGGATACGGAATTTTTGCTAAATTGTGCGGCACGTCGATCATAAAATTTGTCAAAATAATTTTAAATTATGTAAAATAACGTGCTTTAACTCAGACTTAATTTTTTTAAATAATATTTTTTATTGCGTTTTCCGGAAGATCAAAAATGGTATTTAGGACAAAAGTGTACTCAGTGCTTTTTCTCGTATTATAGAGGCATGGCTTTCCGTTGAGGAAATCCCAATGGTGGAATTTTGAATGTGGTTAATTTTTTTCTTATATTAATTGAAATTTATACAAGGCAGGTTCACTGTTATGTAATGATTACAAATAGTTATCAGATATATTTGAGTCAACCGTAAAACTTCAGAGTATATGAAGTGATTCCTTTGTCATCATTTTTCATTTGAACTTTTATACGTAATGAAGTATTGGCACTTAATCAAATTCTAGAGTCCACTACAATGCAGGAACGATGAACATTTAAATTATTTTTAACGTAGTCTCAGTTTTAAATTTGGGAGATTTTCTTTGTAGATAAAACTAAATATTACATAATTCATGTAAAATAAATGAAAACTAGAATATGGAACTATATTCTAAGAGGATTATTCTAAGAATAATATTCTAAAACAGATTCTAATAGGTAATTTCTCATTTATACCCAAATTGCTGTTAAACAAATTCTAAAAACATTCTAACTAAAAAAATATAATCCTTAGAAAAGTGTGCTGCCAAAAATACAAATTTTCGTTTCGTTTTCTATCAGCTTAATATATTCTGTGAAAAGTATCAAACCTTCTCATACATTAAGCTAATAGAATATATTAGGTCATGATAGTATTTATATATTGCAGGGAAGTGTATTTCTTAAAGATATATCAAGAATCGTGTTTGCAGTCTATACACCTAGCATTTTCTACTAATATTTTTACTTCTGTTCATTTTTCTGCTATCATGTCAGCAACGAGGTATTATAGCTGTAGAATGCGAGCATTTTCTCATAGAAATTGATTGATATTGACTCATTTGACAACAAACCAAATTACACAGCTGGTCACTAAAACTGCTATTCGATGAAGAGAGCATACAACAAACATGTAAATTGCATGAAAGATAGAACACAATGCGATATGCAAATGATTAACATTTGCGTAATACAGGCAATTGTTACGATATCCAGGCATTAACCAAAAAAAAAAAAGATTTAAATTTAAATTTTTTATTGGCAAATCGCATTTGCGTTGAAGGTCGCGTTTTCTTCATGTAAAAAGAAATAACTGATATCAGTGCGTCTCAGAATTCTATCGCTGCAGAACCGTAGCCTTTCGGGGCTACATACAACCGACACTGGATTTGATCGAGATCAATAACTGTTACGAAAATTTTAAATCATGATCAGTGCATCCAAGAGAATCATATTATAAGGTATTTCTCATGCCTTCTTGGCATGCCCTCGTGGTGTGGTGGTCTGCACGCTGGGCGCGTATTCCAGAGTTCCGTGGTTCAGTTCCCGGCGAAGGCATTGCATATTTTTCCTCTTTCCTGCTTTCAAAATATCTAATTTCTCTACAGTATAACCTGACGTGCGGAATTTCAACGGCTTTCACTCATCAGTGTCCGGACATGTCACCGGAATTAACATCTTATCCGCATCGCTGTTAACAATAGTACAGCTACATCACCTACTGTGTAAAGCTGTTTGGTTTTCTGTACAGCACCGAGTATCCTCATACAGTGTGTGACGCCCTTTACAGTGCTAAAGGCTGTCATCAAAGCAACTATTGCATCGGTTTCCCTTGACGCTGCAGTGCATGAAGCAGCGCCTCTAGCAATGTGTTTAGTGACACGCATGGCATAAAGTTTTCTTTTCTGCTAGATTTCTCATTTAGCGTTTCCTCTAGCGGTTGTATTCGATGCTTTTATCAGCCATCGTTACATTATTGAAGTTTTAATAACCGTTGCTTTGCCATATCATTCAGGGCTGCCATCGTCCTACCTTTTAAAAATGCAGTGCAAGACACATATTTCCCACGCTGCATTTATTGAATACCCAGAGTGTTAGATCCTGTCTTGGATGGCACCTTCTCCAGATCTTTTACCAACTGAAAGACCAATGGCCCATTTCTATAAAAAGATTGACAGGATAACAACAGCAACCAAATAAAAAAATATCTAGTATAAATATAAGTGAATTACGATTCCCGCAGATGCCAATCAGAGCTTAATTCGACGGTGCTACAGCTAGTATTACTTCCAAACACAATTGCTCGGAGTATTGATTTCTGCACGTTTTGTACCTCAAAATTTTCTAAATTTTTAATCATTTCATCCGTGTAAAGTGATTATATAAAATTAGGGTGTCCGAATCAAATGTACCTATATATGCATGCATCCTGAGTTTTCTATGCAGCACATCACGAATAGTTGATCGTGGCGTAGATAATTCAGAAGCTGCCTGCCTGATCGACTGACGAGGGCTTCGAACGAAATCTTGTCGAACATCTTCCACACGTGAATCAGAATGACAACGCCGATCACCTCCGGATCTTTTCCGTACATTTCCTGTTTCGAGAAACGTTTTGTGAAATTTTTTGTGCTCTTAGCCTAAGGTGGATTTCTTTTATAAACTTTGAAACATTCTTTTGTCACTTTTACTATGGATTTGTGTTCTGCATAACAGAGAACAATTTGTGCCTTCTCTTGTGGTGACGCCATTTTTTCATTTGTCGGCTCAGCAAAAGGGCAGGTGCGTCAGACGCAAGAAAAAATATTAACGCCAAACTCTACGAATCAGTTCCCACATGTGGCCAATAGCGCCCTCGTAGAACTAAAACTCGGTTTTTAAAATAGGTACATTTGATTTGCTTCATGATGTAGCAGTTTTAATCGATAGTAATATAATGACACAATGTTTTTAGTATTCTTCCTTATGTAACGGATACATAAATCCATTTCAGGTTAAAAGTCTTTCCAAATTGTTTTGAGAAAGTACTTTTCGCCTAGTAGACGCCCCTGGTTTTCCACTATGCCTTAATCTAACACATTAATTACTGGATTGTAAATTATCATGCAATTTTGTTAATTCCAAATTGTACCATACCTTATTTTTCTGAAATGAAACTCATTTAGCCGAGTAATACCAAAATAAGCATTCTACTGAAAATGTGTAACACCATTTATTTATATCTTGAAAATAAATTCAGCCACTCGAGTCATCATAAATAATAAATAATGGTATTAGGTATTTGCAAATTATTATTGCAAAATTTTACAAATGTACGACAGTGGGCTGTAAATCTCCTTTTCCCTACTCAACCAAGCTGTAATCCCTACTCTCCCTTCTCAACCAAGCGACACGAAGTCATGCATCACAAATCTACTTTCCGGTAAATGTCTGGGCTGTCATTGTAGAAGATCACCTCATATGATCTTACCTGTTCACTTTTGGTCTGTTTGGTAGCAACTAAATGATATTTCTTTCTGGAGTGCGTTTTTCCACTACTTTTGGATGACGAATAGCTTACCTGCATCACACTAGCTCCATGGAAAGACTGAGACATGTCTAGAATCTTCCAAAATATTCGGAATTTCATGAATTGAAGATGTGAGTTACAGCATCTGGAGACACTTCGACCATCTTGTATGACCTCTGGTACTTTATACATGTATAAAACGCGCATTCATTACTCTGATGTCCTCTCATTTCAAGTGCTTTCTGTGTGCACTTTACATGTGCACATTCTGTTCCTACATTGCCACATGATTCTGGGCTGTCTGGTTGCATGCTACTCCTTCTATAGGTTTGTAGCCCTGATACTGAGAAACCCTATATTGTTAATCACGCTACATCGCCGTTTATACTTAAATAAAATAGTTTTAAAACTTCAGTTAATAATATGTCCAAAGAATGTTAAGGTATTCTAGCTTGATAAATAAATATGTTACAATTTATTAAAATTACAGCTTTTCTTAAGTTCAGAAATAGACGGTAATTTTAATTCAAATAATGCATTCATATTGCAGGAGTTTTGTCTCTTGTGAATAATTGAATTCATATCGTATGAACGAGTTGCGCTTATTAACACCCCCCCCTTATTAGAAATGTTGTTGCCTTAAATGAAATTTATTCTTGTAAAATATAAGCATATATCATCAGATTGATGTTGTTCATAAGGAAGATGTTCTTGAATAGCTTTTTTTTTTCTATTAAATTCGAAGTCGTATAACGTTTTTAAATATGAATGTAGAAATATAGAAAACAATAACTTATGCAATTCTTGCTAAATGTGTAATATATCTGTGTTAAATTTAAGAAATTCTTACTAAGTATGCAATGTATGTGTGTTAAAGTTCCGATCAGCTGAATTTTCAAGTTTACATGAAGCTCAGTATAAAAAGCATGAATAATAATGGAGATAAGGAATATAATTCATTTAAATTCCTGTGGTAAAGATTTTTTAAATCAGATCGATGACCGAATAAAAAACTTTCAATAATACAGGGTGGCACAAAAAAAAAAAAAAAAAAAAAAGGAACTTTTTTAACAATCCAATAATGCCAAAAATGATGGAAGAAAACATTTTATTCGTTGTAATTGAAACCTTAAATGCCATTTAAATACATTAATGGAATTGCCATTTAATAAACATTAATGGAATTTATCATTTTT